TACACAGACAATAAGACAAAACGCGGAGAAACGATTTGACGTAGCCGCTAGACATGACAATCCCCTCCTCAGGCAAGCCGTTGACTACGTACCCGACGTGACCGACAAACACAAAAGACCTAGACACCAACTTTTTGACCCTGGGTGACCACCCCAACGACATCCCCCCCCTGCCCGCTAACCTTTTCTATTTCAGAGACCGCCAGGATCAAGAAACGAAGACAACGACACACACACACACATGCACACCTCCCCATACCCTCCTTACCTCACCCCTCCAGCGCTGGCCTAAGGGCCACCTTAGCAAAGTGCATCCCAGGCTGCATAGCCGCACTACCCTACCCAACCATACCACACACGAACATGATACCACCCCCGGGGTTTACACAGACGAGCCGGCGAAGCAAGAACAGCGCCAGAAGAAAGGGCCCTAGCCGGCGGGGCCCAGCCAGGACAAAAGGAGGTCCCACAAAGCGCCTATACCGGCCGCAATTGCGGTCGGGGTAGACGACGGATGGGGCCCACCTACGAAGGCTGTCCAGGCCTACACGAGATGAGGCAGGATAAAGAGGGATAATTCTCCTCGATCCCAAATCATTGAAGCCAATTTCTTGCCATGGAATAATGGCGCGCACTTTCCATAAATCTCTTATCTATGAGTTTAATTATTTACATTTTTCGAAAGTAAGGTTAAGTTAAAAATATTTAAACTATTATTGAACTTGTACTTTTAATTATGCTTTGATGAACATGGCAGACGGGGAATTTGTGTCCTACACAGACTTTGTAAAAATAATTTAAAGTACAGTCCGTTCGATATTTGCTAAGATAGAATTCCAAGAAGACCCCTGCGTCGTTTTCTTGGAATTAACCGCATTCTATACCCGAGGTAGAAAGACATTGGCGGCGTGGTGTTCATCGTAGCAGCTTGCAGTGCATACTTTGTTTTGCAGTTACGAAGGCGTGTTTCTTATTAAAATAAATCAATGGAGGTGAAAAATAAAAGAAAAGAATATAATTCCCAGTCAAAAAGTATCGTGTTTAACGTGTATAATTATTTTAAGACAATTTTTCCCAATGAAAATAAAATACAATTAAAAAACCGTGTTGTAGCTGCCACAGGAGTATCTTTAGCCACTATAGGGAGAATCATAAGTGAAAGTGTCGAGTTACAAGCTTTAAACAATGGTGATGGTGAAATAAAATTTAGTTCTCCTAAAAAACGCAAGAGAATATGTACAAAAACCAATGTACCAGAATGGGAACAAATGGATATTAGAAACATGATTTATAATTTTTACAAAACGGAAGGATGTCGAGTTACTCTGACACAAATACAAGAAAAATTAATTACAGAATATGACTTTTCAGGAAAACGTACCTCCCTGTACACCATTATTAAAAAACTTGGATTCAGGTGGAGAAAAACTAAGAACAATCAGCGTGTGCTAATAGAGAAGACTGACATTCGCGCTATAAGGTTGAACTATCTGGACAAAATTAAGTATTATAGGAGCCAAGGTAGGCCAATTGTCTTTTTTGATGAAACATACATTCATGCAGGCATTAGGTCCAACAGTTGGACAGACAATACCGGTAATGGTTTACTATCAACAATTTCTAAAGGCAATGGATTAGTTATTGTTCACGTCGGTGGTGAAATGGGTTTTATCCCTAATTGTATGTTGATTTTTAAATCTGGTACCAAATCCGGAGACTACCACGACCATGACCACATGAACACGCAAAATTATGAGGAGTGGCTTACAGAGAAGTTGATTCCAAATCTGCCTCCCAATTCTGTTGTTGTAACTGGTAATGCACCATATCATAATGTACAAGTACAGAAAGCGCCTACCTGCAATTCAAGAAAAACAGATATGGTAGATTGGTTAATAAGTAAAAATATACCTTTTTCGCCAAATTTGCTTAAGCCACAGCTGTATGAAATTATTAAACATAATAAAAAACAACACATTGTTTACAAATTCGATCGTCTCCTCCAAGAAAATGGGCATGTGGCTTTGAGGCTCCCACCCTACCATCCTGATTTAAATCCGATTGAAATGGTATGGGCTCAAGTTAAAAACAGCGTAGCAAAGAAAAATGTTTTATTTAAATTAGAAGCTGTGAAAACTCTAACAGAAGAAGAATTTCTATCAGTTACTGTCGAAGACTGGATGAAATGTTGCCAAGATGTTGTTAAAGTTGAAGATAATTACTTGCAAAATGAAATTCGAGTTGATATGGTAGTAGAAGACTTGATTATAACAGCTTCTGATAGTGAAAGTTCTACTGGTGAAGACGATTTCGAAAATTTATCAGATTAGGACTATAAATATGTTTCTTGTGAATTCCTTTTTTGTACCAGCTTGTTTATAATTGTATTGTTTTCTAGTTTATTTATGATTTGTACTCTACTGTAACGTAAAAGAAATAAAAATACTTTTTAATTGAAAAAATCTACTTTAACACATATATATTTAAATATTCTGAAAATATCGCAGAATACTTTAAGGCACGCCCCTACCACGGTAAATTGTTGCAGTGGTTCCAATAACAGAACTTTATTGGCTTATTCTTATCTTGGAATTCTATATCTCACCAAATATTGTAAGGACTGTAGAAGACATAAATTTTCAACTCCATTAAAAATGTGTAGATATTCTATGAATAAACTGCACTTATTATAGGATCAAGTACATATTAGGTATAGCACATTTAAAAAGAAACTATCCAAAAAATTACACATTTAAGACTATATATAGCACGCTACAGTGGGCTACCGGTGTAGCGGCTACATTCTGAATTGATGCTGTGATTATAATTCATATTATTTTTACAAATTGGTTCTTTACTTAATAAAAAAATATTTCAAAAGTTTTATTTGTTAATAATAAATAAAGATTTTCACCAAAATAAAAAAATTTAATATTTTGCTTTTTTAAAAATTGTTTATTAACGACTTTTTGCATAAAATTTTCCTTTTAAATTTTTTAAATAAGCTATTTCCATGGGAAATTCAATTCTCTAAATAACTTTTCCTATGAATTATAATGAAATTTTGCTTCGTTTTTGAGCTACAATTAAAAAACTGAAAGGGGTGCATTTTCATCTCCAATTTCCACCCTCTAATTTAATAGCACTCCTTGTTTTTTTTCATATAAAATGACCCTTTGAACGATTCATGCAATAAAATTGTTTGAACGTCATAGTTCCTTTTAACCGTTTTTTTGGATATAATCAATAGTCACACCCACAATTAAACACGGTATACAGAAGTTTTTTTAAATGAACACTTCCACACAACCACTTATACATTCATTCCGAAACTTTCAAACGTACACGTCTTTTGACTCCTCCTTTTTTCCATATTGTAATGTTCTAGCACTTGAGGTTCGTAGGTGTGAATAAAAGTACCCAGTATCTCAGGTATTTATCTCTAGGTCGCCGAACAGTTCTCATTTATTTACAATAAGGTACACATACACAAATTAAAATAAAATCAATCAGACAGTTACTAAAAACAACTCTACTGTCTATATATTTTCCAACGCTAACTATCCTAATTTATATTAATTGCTCCACTGTGAGCCAGCTAACGACATTTCATCACAATATCGAGAGTAGGTATAGGTCTCTCACATTTAAAAAATTCTTTTTGTCCTCAATTTTCCATCTGGAAAATAGCGTTTTCAATAAAATACATACTGGATTATACATAGGAAACATTTCTACAATTATTATACAAAACAAATATTAACTAAGAACAGTTAGTCGTGCACTGGAAAACGCGTATCGTATGAACTGAAACTGTTAAAGGCAGGCGATGGATGATGCTGCTTCAATTTCTGCATCACTCGTTTACCCATGCCGTAGTTGAATCCCATATTGGCCGCTTCGTTGCCATGACAACCTCCGTAAACAACGCTACTAAGAGAAGCAAAATACAGACCGTTTCAATCTGCGTCACTTGCGTGTATTATATGTTATATGGTCCGAGGTTGATGTTCGTGCTCAACGAAGGCAATGTGGCAAAATAAGTGTATGTATTCCTCATTAGAGTTCTGTCCTTCAATGTAATTTATGTTTGTGTGACTATTCCTATACATGTTGTTCATGTCTAAAAGGAAAATAAATTATTATTATTATTGTTATTCTGAGTAATTAATTAATATTTATCTGTATTAAACAATGTTACATTGTGTAATAAATTTGCTGCCGGTTTTCAAGAGAAATATTACGATNAGGCGTTCACCGCTCAACTATTCTGTTTATTTCTGCGTGTTAAACAAACAAAGATAATACATTTTCAATGTAAAATTATACCTAAATTACAAAATTTATATAAAATTAAAAATAATTTTAAATTGCACAACCAATCGGATTTTAGGTGAAGCGGTGCGTCACCTGATGAGCCGCCACTGATAATTCACCATTATTAACAAGATTGTAAAAATAAAATATTCACAACAGATTTGAACGACAGATACTTACTTCAAAATGTCAGAAATGCAAATTGTATTCTTCAAAAATTACATTAATTAATTATGGACAATATAACAGGTTTTATTTTTTTATTCAAAAACGGCGCATAGCAGGACAAAAACTCAAGAGCTCTTATCTTTTGAATAGAACGGAAATTTCAAAAATAATTTTATTCAGGAAAAAAACCATTGGCGTACCATTTTTTTCTTTAAAAATATCAGTCACTGTTCGTACGCACACCACTGTTAGAGCTAAAAATTATGTTTGTATTAAAAAACATATGCCTTTATTAACTATCACTATGTACTAAATATCACTGAAATATTTCAACCAGTTTCGAAAATATTAATTAATTTCCTTCTTTTTCCGCAAAATTTTAACACCCCGTATATTCACAACGGAACATTTTTGGACCATAGTTAGTTTACAGGCTATAATTTTTTTGCGACGTCAGATTACAAAATTCAACGCTTATAATCGACAAAAACAAAAGACTGACTGAACAATAAACGAACGACTCGATAAACGAATGAAAGATTTGGCAAACGGAAGAGTTGGGGGAGTGATAAGATACTCACTCACTGTGCATATCGTCTGCCTCGTGACGTCCTTAGGATAGCGGTATGACGCCTTCAGGATAGCAGTGTGACGCACCAGGGCGTCGCAACACACAGTTTGGAAACCTCTGTCATAGTTTATAAAGCAAACTATTTTTAATTTTTCATGTAGAATCACATCCTTAAATATTCGCATTAAGGTACACTCTGTATAAAACTAAATTATTTTACTTCATGGATTGGTTATTTTTTAGAAAAAAATATACAATTAAATTTCTAGTCCAGTGACAGACTTAAGATAAAAGTACAATTCGCATTTTACTCAAAATGATTTTATATGAAAATTACAAAATTTATATTTTCAACACCACTTATGTGCTTGTTTTTGCTAGTTCATTTTTGTCTCTTTTTTACAAATACTTACATCTAGGTATTCCAGAATTTGATAAGGAAATAAATAAAAGAAAATAAAAAATATCAGAATTTAATAGTTTTAATCATATTAGACAATTTAATTTGTAATACTACACGATTTAAAAATGGTACATATTTTATAAATAAGGCACTGATTATAAATCACAATAATATTAATTACTATGAAAAAATAAAGTGTTAAAATATCAAATATAATATATACACAGCCTTTTTGTAAACAATAAAAAAGAAATAGAAATTAAAAGAGCATTCAAATTTTGAAGGCGATCGCGGACAAATAGGTACACATTGTTTTTTAGGTAAACACAGTTAATGCTGCATTAAGAAGGTGGATGTAAGTAGTTTTTAATTAGATGTCTTCTACTGACAACTAATCTATAATTAAAAAAATATTGCACATTTTAATGAGAAATTATAGTTTTTAAATACAGGGTGTTCCTAAATAAGTGGCGCAACGGAAAACTGTAAATTGTTTCCTCTTCCATTTTTCTCTCCGGGCTTTCGTTTTCGAGATATACGGTGTCAAAACTTTTTTTCAGATTTTTGCCAATAGCTTAGGAACCGTTTGAACTACAGGACTGAGCTTGTGTACACACATTACCACTATTAATAGCTACTTGTTGCAAATGTTGTTAAATTTCGTTAAAACTTGTTAATTATTACTCTCTATCTTTTGAATTACAAAAGATTTTTGAAACGTTAGCAAAATGTTTGTTTTTGTTCATTAAAAGTCAATTTTCTTGAAAACGGTTGACTTTAGAGCAATGAACCAAGAGAACTCTTTTTGTGTAAAATTCATTGGCGCTTCAGAATTTGCTGTCAAATGTCAATTTTTCCAATGGTGTAAAAGTTAGGGGGGAAAAACCTTTACAATACCTTAAAATCTCCACCACTGGCACGTGCAATGAATTCGAGAAGGGTGCGAAAAAGTAGCTATTAATAGTGGTAATGCGTGTACAAAAACTCAGACCTATAGTTCAAACAGTTCCTAAGATATTGGCAAAAAATTTTTAAAAAATGAGTTTTGACACCGTGTATCTCGAAAACGAAAGCCCGGAGAAAAAAATGGAAGAAGAAAAGAATGTTTCTTTTTTCAAGAGGAATTTAGTGTTCCGTTGCGACACTTATTTAGGAACATCCTGTATATTGATAGTACAGGTTTTAGAAAAAGGTGCTATAAACTTAAGAGGGCTAATGGAACATTAAAAAACTAAATATTTTTCCTAAAAATCATGGCCCTATTGTCTTTTGTTTTTGAAATTAGGGTGCCAGACAATTTTTTTAAATAAAATTTTGGCCAATTTTTTTTTAAAATTCAATGCACTGTACTGAATTTAGGACAAATTTTAAGAATGGTAAAAACGTCGATGGTGGTAGTTTTCGACTATCTTGTAGAGGTCAGATTTTTTCGAGTGCCGTTTTAAGACATAACTTTTTTATTTGCGGTTTTCTGTATTTTGTATTCTACAACGTACAATTTTAATTTACACAAAAAAAAAGTACTCTTGTCAAAACTACTGAAAATGCACAATTTTGAGATGTATGCGATAGATTGTGCCAAAGTTAACCGGCTTCTATCTCTAATGATGGCTTTTTTATCAAGTACATTCTGTCAAACTACACCTTATTGTCAGAGCTTTTGTTCATTACATGCAAAAGAAATTAACAGTTTAACAGAACTGTGGAGATAGAAATTGGTTCATCTTGGCATAATTAAGGGGTATCACTTTGAAAATTTTTTTTTCAATTTTTTGAATTTCGTGCAAAGAGCAACAAAGTAAAGAAATCCGTGCGATAGACAAGGATGGCTTCATTGAAGACGTTTCATAATCTGAATAGTCACTCCCACTTCTAACCCGAAATGGGCGGTGACTTCAGATTATGAAACGTCTTCAATGAAGCCATCCTTGTCTATCGCACGGATTTCTTTACTTTGTCGCTTTCGTGTAAAGGCAGATGGACCATGTGGATTTTCCAGCCGTGTATACTGAATATAAGATTTTTACAATGGTTAGAGCACGTGCGTCGTCAATCAGCTGTACGCTGTAGTTCGAGTTGTGTTGTGTTATTATTTGACTTTGTTGATTTGTTTGCAGTGGTGAAATATGAGTGATACGTTGTATGCAGGCCATAAAGACAGTAAAAATCGAAGTACAGCCCGTAAGCCAAGTAAAATTAAAAATAGACGTCTGCCTAACCGTCATTCATTCGAGTGCTCGAGTGCGATCCGGAGATCAAGAGCGCGTCAGCGAAGAAACTCAAACTTGATGACGATAAGTGTAAAAGAGAAGTAAATGAGTCATTTGGGTATTGTTTCATTGATTTCATGACCATGAAAAGATCAGGAAGAGCAAAATACGGCCCTGGAAGGGCAATTATATGGTGCCGGGATAGCAGAGTGATGGAAAAAAATTTTTATGCACCATATTATTATGATTTCCAAAAGTTACAGTGTTCTCAAACTTCAAACGCGTTTTTCCCGAAACAGCAGAATTCGAAGAGTTTTCATCCGATCGTCTTGAAAATTGAACTGTAACTTCATCTTGTGAAGTACACACGATTTTTACAATTGGTCAACAGGATTTTTTTTATAAACAAGCAGTTGATTTTTTGTCAAAAATTCTAATTTTTTGTTCAATGTCTCACCAGTTTGCAAAAAAAATTCCTAAAATTGTGATTATGTGTACTTCACTAGCTAAACTCATGTAGTTTAGAGGTGATCCAGGGGACTTCTACTGCATGCTGCAGAGGACCTTTGAAAAATTTAGTTTTGTTCATGTACTTCTATAGCTATTTTGCAAGAAATTTTCAATAAAAAAATTGTTTCTTACTTCTGAAGAGTTGCTTAATCGATTGGTGTATTGGTTGTTCATGATTATTATAAAAGAATGCTCAAAAAAAAATCTTGAAAAATGCCTCTTTTTTGGACTCCAAAGTGATATAACCCCTTTATTTAATTTTTCTCGAAAACCGTGCACTTTCAGTAATTTTAATAAAATTACTTTTTTGATATAAAAAATACATATAATACAATACAACATCAAGAAAAGATCTATTAAAATGATACCAAGAAAGATTGCAACTAGTGACCTCTATAAAAATCTTGAAAACTAACAACACAGGCCCTTCACAAAATTCCATTGCATTTTTTTTGTTCTATTAGCCCCTGAATTTATGGCATATTTTTTCTTTATTTTTTGGATATTTTTCCAATTTGAAAAAATTTAAAATTAGTGAAATAAACCCTTGCACCAAAAGAATCGATCAAGGGTTATGTTTATGAAAATAGTTTTGCGTAACCAAAAAATCTCACACTGAAATACAAAATACAAAAACACATCGCATTATATTGTGCACTTTAAAATTTGTTAACGTTTCCAAAATCTATCTGTTTCCATCTTCTGAACTTTTTTTGACTTTTCGTTTTAGTTGTTTTGATAGTTTTTAGTTATTTTGATGTTTTCGTTAGGCAAAACTATTTTCATAAAAATAAACCTTGACTGATCACTTTGGTGCAAGTTTATACAAAATACATGAAAAACAAAGAAAAAACGAAAACAATGCCACAAATAAATAACTTCAGACAATATATGTATATTTTTTCAAAACATCAAAAATAAAAAATGCTGACACATTTTCTACAAAAAAAAATACTGTAATGGAACAATATAATACCTAGCCATAAAAATTTTACTTAGTTAATGAGTGTCTGTCATTTATCCAGATTACAAGAACGGAACACCTAACAAATTGATTGAAACCTTAAATTTAATAATAGATTACCTAAAAATGCATTTAACTGAATAACTGATTAGAAAAATGGCAATGGATTTATAAAGTAATCTCAAATTACAACAGCACAAATTGAGCCTCTATCACAAAGTTATGAAATAGCACCTTGGGCTACTCTTTCAAAATGAACCTGAATAGTTAGGAAAACTAAGCCTGCAATTCCGTTATGACGAATAGGGTAATAACTTCATCGAATAAATAATAAAAAAATATTTCGAGGTTATTTTTGTAATACTCGTATATCCCCAAATTTTTCTAAATATTTTACAACTGCTTTAGATCGCCCCGCTAATAATTACTTACTGAAAAGATAAATATTTGTACACTTACAACTATGATCAGACTTATCAATAAATTTCCAAAAATACAAAGTCCAACGAGAGGAAAATTAAGTACATAAAATATTATAAGCCAATACTGAAAGAAGACACACAAGATTGCAACATTCTCTTTTAAGAGCTTTTAGCTCCCTTATTAAGTACAAGAAAAGTTTAAATAGAAATCCATGATGTAAAGTTATACCGTAAATATCTGCACACTTATTAGATAAAAAACACAATGGCATCAGTACACAAGATATACAAAATGCTATATGAGACGAGTTTGTTTTAAATAATGTATTAGTAACGAATATACAAATCTGTATTGCGCAATAGTTTGTATCATAAATGCCCTCTGGTGTCGAAGAAGTCCAACAACTCTGGGGATGCACACCTCCTAAAGAAAACAAATTGAGTTAAGTTTGATATAGCACACAGTTCATAATTATATTTTGTTAAAATATACAAAGCCAAGATTACAGGTAAGAAGCAGCTTAGTTACAAAGGATATCCGGAAATTACGAGAAAAAACTTTAAGGGCGATTCATGTTAGTTACAATAATAATATTTTACTGTAACCTTTTCAGGCAACTGACTGTGACTCAAAATTGATTTAAAACTTTAACATTTACAGTTTCTCAAACACTAGAACTGTGAATTAATTTTGAGGGATTTACAATAGATGTCACAACTTATGCTATATCGTATCGGACACTTTTGTAACTATATCCATGTCAAAGCTTTACTTTTTATTATGCCATTTTGCTAAATGTAAACAAGAAATTTTTTGTCAGCTCCAAAGATGTCGAATTATGAGCTAACAAAACACATTTGCGGGAGGTTTTACTTTTCCTGTTTAATTCAAAGAAAAGTGCTGGTCATCGAGTGCTGTTGGAAACTTACGGTAAATACAGGGTGATTCACAAATGGTGACCAAAAACGAAACCTCGTATTCTTTGGTGAATTTTAAAGTGAGTCTTTCCTATAAGTTTTTTATCTAGGACGCTTCGTTAAAAATATACAAGGTGTTAAACTTCAAAAAATATTTTTAATTTTTTTTAAATAATTTAAAAACTAGTAAGTGAAATAATTTGAAATTGGGCACATGTATTTATGTCAACATTGTCCAAAATCTGAGGCTTTTCCTAAAATTTACATGCTCCAGTGGCATACAGGGTATCCGTGGCATATTTTTCTAAATAAAATAGTATTCCACTGCTTTACGGTAACAACCTTGATATTTTCTAATTCGTCTTTCAACTTTTTAAATCAGTTTTCACTTTTCGATCACTAACATTTTCAAAATTTTCTCCTGCATAAATATTTAGCAATGTGACTTTTGAAAATTACACAGCAGCTGTCATAACGTTTGTACCAAATGGAAAATATTTTGCAAATTTTTAAAAACAAATTCCTTTTATAATTGTTGCTTGTCCCGATAGCAATAAAGACAACTGAATTTTTGGTTTAAGAGAAAATGATAGTATTTTAATCTGCCAAAATTAAAATGAAATACATTTTTCAAGAAATATGTGGAATTTTTTTATAAATTCTAATAGTATTACTTTATTTTGACAGAATTTAGATTTCCTTGTTGATACAAAATTGATATTAAAAAAGATCTAACAAAAGTAAATTTTTATATAAATTTTTTTGACGACAGGATCGTTTCTTATTTATAATTTTTTTCGAAAAATTTGCTTACAAATGTATCATGTATTTAATAATTTTTTGGTTTCGATCATTTTGTGCAAAAAAAAGTATAATATATGTTAGCATTTGGTATATGGATCAATGCCTACGTGACTTAACTATAAACAATGTTGTAGCATATTTTAATCTCAAGTTAGTTCTGACCTTGCAATGTATCGAGATAGACGCACGGTGAGGTGGTTGGGTGGATCAATTATAAAAGTTGTGTATTAATTAACAGTATTATTAAACTATTTATCATAATATTACCCTGATTCTTACATATATGAAGTAGAATGTTGAAGTTTACGTATTAGATTTACGTTTCTATGGTAAACTATAGAATACAATCGATTCTATAATTCATAAATGATTTCCAAGTATGTCAACAGAGTGTAATTTTTATGTTAGTATTTTCTTGCAATTAAATCCAGTGCATTCTAGACATTTAACCGATTGGCCACTGTTGGCACTGCCCTCTAGAACTCAGAGAAAGACTACGAAATTAAAAGTATTATTCCTAATTTTACGTTTGTCAATACAGCACGTCATGGCTACATCAATTTAATATTATTGCTAGAAATTCAAATAAAATATAGAAAAAGTTGTCATACTATTCATTGACATTATTTTATATTTCACAATGATGTGCAAATATTTTAAGGAGGTCTTTAGAAAGTAATTTTAGGGGAGGTACTTCCAATACATTTTTTAAATTTCAGTCCCACCTGAGAAAATATTCAAATCTCAAAATGTCCGAAAAAAATTAGCTTTTTCTATCTTTTTTATTAAATTTTTAGTTTATATTTGCTTAGCTTTTCCTATTGATTGAAAGGAATTTTTGCAAAAAACACGTCAAAAATAACAATCGTTTTTGGTATAGTCTTTCCGATATCAATTGAAGAACCAAGAGGTTGACAGTATGTACCAGGTTCGGTCGCTGACGCAGCAACTCGGCATTGAAATATTTGAAAAACTTGTTCCCATATTTACTTAGCCACACCCATATACAGGCCTGGTCGAACTAAACGTGCAGGTTGTAGAAAGAAATGTATACGCCCAGTTGAAGAATGCGATTGCGGGCAACGGAAAATAAATACAGCTGCATTGGACCACTGGGCAATAAATCTCAGCTGTTGACAAGTGGTTGACAAATTGCCCAGTAGACACCTTCTATTAATCATTCATATTACAATTGCAAAAGGGAGAAATAAGAGGGATATTTTGTTTACTACAACATGGCATTTTGGAGATCTTTTGAAACGGAACAAAACGAAATTTACCATCAATATAATAAAATTGTTTGAGGACATAAATAATTAAAATATGTTGTTGGCCAAATGAACAATAATATAAATTTTCTACACATTATATACAAATTATTATAATTTTTTACCTTTAGCAGAAAACTTTTTTAGAGACGCCTATGAAAGTCATTAAATTTTATTGCCAGGCTTTTTTTTACATGTTCAACTGACTTCAGAAAGACTATAACCGTTATACTAATTATGTGTACCTATCAGCAAGGAAAAATAATTTATTTTTTTGCTCGTAAACCATTAAGTATACGAAAAAATGGGAAGAATAAAAAAGTTTCTACATAAAATGTAGTATTAAAAGCTATTTTTCTTGTTGGAATTGGCTAACGTAGAAAAAAGTTGTGAGAGAAATAAAACCAAGGGGTGTTAATTTCTTTCATTCAAAGACATAAACCAGAAAAAAAAGACTACCAAAAAATACCATTCAACTAGTTGTTAAAGTATACCAAAATTCAAACTTCTAAGTTTAATCGTTTTCGTGAAAAAAAAATAAAAGCAAATTTTTTCGGCCATTTTGAGATTTAAATATTTTCTCAGGGGAAGCTCAAATCAAAAAAAATATATTGGAAGTACCCCCCCTAAAATTACTTTCTAAACAAAACACCTCCTTAAAATATTTGCACATCATTATGAAACACCCTGTATAACATTTTAAGAAGAATATCACAACCTTATATGAATTTTAAAAAATTCCATGAAAATCAGAGAAATTCCTTGAAATTTCCCCAACATTCTGGATCTATAAAATCCCTTGATTTTCCCGATTTTCCAGATTACTGCACACCCTGCATTATTTTTATGCGTAGATTCCTCTTTCAATTTTTTTTTTGCCCATAGCCTCCGGACACTCTGTATTTTAGTTGGTTCAACTTTTACATGACTGTAAGGAAGACTTCTATTTTTTTCAGCAGTCAGCATATAAAAAGGATCAAGTGCTCAGGTCGGCAAAATATTCACTTACCTGGTTGTGGTCTACAGTATAAAGCAGTAAATCACTCAGAATCGTGAGACCAGTCCTGCCAACGCCGGCTGTACAGTGAACCAGAATGGGTGGATTCTTGTTGTGTCCCGGTGGAATCTCCCCCATAGAGTGCTGATGCACTGACTGCATCTCCTCTAAAAAACCCAAGAAGTGTGCCACCGAATTCGGGCAACCCTGGTCACCCCAGTCCGTGTAGTGTAGGTGCCATATTGTTCGGTACCTGCGAGAGCTTACGTGACATAATCTTACTTTGCTGGTTACGCAATGCCCCGTCTTCTGAGAAAATTCCCACCAGACTTGGTAGTCCTAAATAAAAAAATGTGATGATTGAAATCTCGTAAAGTTTTGCATTAAAATTAACACGTGCGTAAAAATTGGCCCCAATTACCTGATCTACATCGATACATCTTTCGTCGGCATCCGGAAGATAATTAATATCTTCTGTAAGATCGGTGAGCTGCACCATTAAGTAGACCTCGGCTTCCCAAACGCACTGCCAAAAGTAAGGAAGCGTCTGTCTAGTAGGTCCCTGAGCTGCAATGTAAAACCTCTGTTTGCTGCCAACAGTTGCCTGAACGGGGGAAAAAAGGACAAACGTTAGTCGCTAGCTATAGCGTGATTTTGAATAAAATTACTTACCGTTATGTGAGATGCATTGATGTATCCAAATTTATTATTTCTGGAAGGGGTTAACCGTAGTCTGTTGTCCTCGTAGGGCAGTACGTCTTTAAAACGATTGAAAGCTGCATTGTCAGGATGAAGGGCAGTTGTAAATTCTGCATTCTGTTTTTTTTTCGGGATCTTGTCGAATTCGAAAAACAACTGACTATCTGCTAATTTATTTTCTAATAGCTGACACTAAAAAAAATTTGCTGTTACATACAGTGCATCCTATTTTAGATCGCTTGCTAGGATATCTCAATTATTATTAAATATACAGGGTGTTCCTAAATAAGTGTCGCAACGGAAAACTGTAAATTCTTCTTGAAAAAGAAACATATTTTTCCTCTTCCATTTTTCTTTTCGGGCTTTCATTTTCGAGATACACGGTGTCAAACTTTAATTTTTTTTTTTTAGTTTTTTGCCAATATCTTAGAAACCGTTTGAACTACAGGACTGAGCTTTTGTACACATATTACCACTATTAATAGCTACTTTTTCGCACCCTTCTCGAATTCATTGGACATGCCAGTGGTGGAGATTTTAAGGTATCGTAAGGGTTTTTCTCCCTAAATGGGAACATCTGAAATGCATCGTTTATGAAATCCATGTTAATACTATCAAAGAGTTGACCGATAGGGGTGAAGCCGCAGCGGCAGAAAGATGTAATGCGTGCATTAAAGTTCGCGAACATATTTTTGAACAGTTTTCATAAATTTTACTCACCAAATTGATAAAAAAAAGTTAAAATCCTACATGTTGTTAAATTTCGTTAAAATTATTAATTATTACTACTTATTTTTTGAATTACAAAAGATTTTCGAAACGTTAGCAAAATGTTTTTGTTCATAAAAAGTAATTTTTCTTGAAAACGGTTGACTTTAGAGTAATGAACCAAGTGAACTCTTTTTGTGTAAAACTCATTGTCGCTTCAAAATTTGCTGTCAAATGTCAATTTTTCCAATGGCGTAAAAGTTATGGGGGAAAACCCTTACAATACCTAAAAATTTCCACCATTGTCACGTCCAATGAATTCGAAAAGGGTGCAAAAAAGTAGCTATTAATAGTGGTAATGTGTGTACGAAAGCTCAGTCTTGTAGTTCAAACTAGTGCTGGCAAAAACCGGAAAAAATTTAAATCGGTTAACCGGGTTCCGCAAAAACAGATTTCAGATAAAACCGGTTAGCCAAATAGTGGTTTAAACCGGAGATTCTAAAACCAGTTATTCCAATAATTGGTTACTTGAATAATGGCTAAAACCGGATATTTGAAAATTGGTGTTTTGAAAAACTTACGGGATATACGATGTTTTTCACATATTCATCTATTTTAAATTTTAAAGTTAAATCTAATGTTAAAAGAGTTACACTTAATAAACTGTGGTTCTGCAATTTATTATTTATATAAATGGGTTTGGTCGTTTGGTGTATGTGGCTGTGGGCGATTCTTGTTTTTATCAGTTTGTGTCTGTGTTAAAAAATAAAATGTCAAAATAAATTGTATTTCCCTTAATACTTCAACCTAATTTTGTAGTAGTTATCTACTATGTAGCCAATGTCAATAACTACATAACACTAAGATTATATTATAATGTTATGTTGTTATTGGCTATAAAGAAAGAATACGATTATTTGGATATTTGAATAAACAGATTATCGAATAATCGGTTATTTGAATAATCGAATATTTGAAGAATCGAATAACCGGTTTTCGGGTTTCGTAAAAATCCAAATTATCCGAAACCAGTTAACCGACTATCCAAAAAACCGATTTCAGTTGCCAGCACTAGTTCAAACGGTTCCTAAGATATTGGCAAAAAAACTCACTGAATTCTAGAGAAATTTACAGTTTTCCGTTCCGACCCTTATTTAGGAACACCTTGTATAATGCTGCGATTTTCATGAACATTGGTTACATTGTTTGAGAAAAATCTTGAATTTAAAACAGACTTTTGATATGCTTTTTAGGTTGGAGTTTAAACAAACAAACTCTAAATTTTGATAGTTGGACGATTTTCTGAAATATTGGTATAGTTTTTCCAAAGTCAGTTGAACATGTACAAAAAAAAACGAGCAATTAAATTTAATGAGTTTCATAGGCGTCCCTAAAAAAGTTTTCTGCTAAAGGTAAAAAATTATAATAATTTGTATAAAATGTATAGAAAATTTCTATTATATGTTCATTTGACCAATAACATATTTTAATTATTTATGTCCTCGAACAATTTTATTATATTGGTGGTAAATTTCATTTTGTTCTGTTTCAAAAGGTCTCCAAAATGCTGTGTTGTAATAATATTATTCCTCCTTTTTGCAATTGTAATATAAATGATTAATAGAAGGTGCTTATAAAAAAATTAAAATGATCTAAATCATACCAAATTCCGCATCGCGGCACTGCACTGCCAAGCGACTTGTCGGCGACTGAATTGACCGAAGCAACTGTGTGGGAACCCGTTTGGCCGCATGTGCATTCTCCAACTGGGTATATACATTTTTACCACCTGCACGTTTTGTTCCACCAGACCCCTGTATAGGTATGGCTAAATAAATATGGGAACAAGTTTTTCAAATATTTCAATGCCGAGTTGCTGCGTAGCGACCGAGCCTGGTACATACCTTGAAGTTATTGGTTCTTCAATTGACTTCGGAAAAACTATACCTATAGACTTTTTTGGATAGAATCTAATGACATGTTTAATTTTTTAGTTGGATTCTAGAAATACAAAAAATGTCTGTAAAATTTCATCAACGGATATAACATTTCAGAAAAAAGTCCACCTACAAGAGTTACACAAAATATTAAAAAAAAATATTTATTCAAAAACTAATGTATACACCATTTATCCGATTCTTCAACAGTGTAAAACTGTTTTTATGCAGGTATCAGAAAAAAGTTGTGAAAAAACATTTGGATATCGAATTATAGAGATTACAGTGACATGGGTTGATGGATCTGTCTAAAAATAATGGGGATTCAGATGGTCAAAAGAATGGGCCGTAAACAAAAGTAAGTGAAGTAAATAGTATGTTCCTAGAGACAGACTGAAAATGCATTACAAGTACGGAGAATGTGTAGCTGAGACTGTGCGCAAGTTACGTGGAATTTTCGGTAGAAGGAATACTCCGAATGAAACAACTGTTAAAAGATTAGTTGCCAAATTTGAACAAACAGGTTCGGTTGAAGACAACAAAAAAAACAGGCTGGCCCCGTACTAGTCGTTCAGCCAAAAAATATGCTACTGCGAGTGAGAGTGTGATGGAAATTCCCATAACCTCAATGCGTAATCCATAATCTTAGTTACTGCAATTAAAATGCACAATGCAGCATATTTTAATAAAAGACCTACATCTGCATCCATGCAAAATTTAGTTAAACCATGATTTGAAACCAGACGACTATTTAATGTGCTGGACATTCGTTGATTGTATGTTGGAGAATAAGTGGACAGGAATTTTACTAAGAAAATCATCTTTAGCAATGAGGCGCATTTCTATCTTCGTGGGTAAGTGAACAAACAAAACTCAAATTTGGGGCAGAGATAATCCTCGGGTCATTAAAGGACGATCACAAGAGTGTGGTGTGGATTTTATGCAATTGGGGTGGTTGGTCTGTTATTTTTTTAAAATGACGCTGGAAACGTGACTGTCAATGGAGAACAATATCGAGAGATGCTATTGAACTTTTTGTTGCTTCATTTGGATGGTTTGGATTTGGATAATATGTGGTTCTAGCAGGATCGGGATCAGCAAGATCGTGCGATCTTAGGCCACGCGACTTTTTCCTGTGACAATTCGTAAAGTTCAAAGTTTATTCTGCTCAAATGAGTACTATTCCTGAATTAAAGGCAGAAATTCAGAGAGTTATCAACAAAATTCAGCTGCAGATACGCGAAAGCGTGATACAGAATTTTCTTAAAAGAAGTCGAGTATGCTAATAAATGAGTCGCAGAGGACATCTCTTCGATATCCTCTTTCGTATTTAATGGCAATGTCTACCCTTTAAAAATGTGTAATAAAAACATTGACAACTGTTAATTAATTATTAATATATTTTTTCCTCACATGAAATCCTGCGTTTTTTTTGGGACACCCTTTATTACATTTATAACACACTTGTTTTACCTTACTATTAGAGATACACTCGCTAAACCTTAAATTACTGTAATCGTAAGAAAACAAATATTGTCACTTTTAAACTATTCTGTCTAAAGTAAAGAGAAAAATTGCAACACAGAAAATATATAATATGCAAATAAAAACAGTAAACAAAAAAAAAAATTAAATTTTTTTTAAGCACATTTCACTTTGTAAAAAAATGGGTATTTCATTACATTTAATAAAGCAACATACCTATCCGAAAATGCATGCACTTTTTATACTGAAAATATAATTTGAAAATAGTTCATACATACCATTGTTTCTTTACTAATAGATGGAGGTAGCGGATTAAACCTCGGCAGTCCCGTCGACCAGCGATGTTTGTTATTCGTCTCATTCTTGTCCTCTTTTTTCTTTTCTCTCCCCAATGTGGCACTCTTAACCTTTTCCCCAGATTTACTCCTCCCTATTAAGATGCCCCAACGTTTCTTTTTCGTCTTATTCACACTAGGATTTGAGGCTGAACTTGCGTCTGTGTAAGTTTCGTTTGAAAGATTCCCTTTATCTACATAAGACGATCCGCTAGTTATGGTGGAGTTGAGGGATGTATTTTTGTTTTGTACGAATGCGCTCTTTCTTCCTAGAGTGTTGGCGGATTCACCTACATTTATATTGGTACTGGTCGACATATGCGACGTATTTATATTCTGAGCAGATCGGTTTAAAATACTACTTGTGTCGCTTAGATTCTGTGTGCTGGAATTATGAGTATTTAATTCAGTTTTTGACGATGATTTTACGCTGCCACGTTCAATGTTTGCATATAAATTTTCTTTATTGTCTGTAAGGAAAAAACAAAATATATTAACATCACAAAATTTTCTTATCAGAACTCCAAATTTTGGGCTTAAACACCAGGTGATATAATAATTTCTTAAAATATTTTTTGGTCATTAACAACAATTGTTTGTTCAAATTTTAATATTTACTGCATTACAAGCTAGTTTTTAATAATGTATTTGGGTGATATTAAGTTGGGTCTAAAAATCAATATTTAAAAATAAATTCAGAAAAACAATTTTTTCCATGCCCTGTATATACCGGTAGAGCTTTCCATTCTTTTTATTTTGATACCAATAAGCCTACTTTTAACTTTGGTGGTTTTGAGAAATGACGATTCAAAGAAACAACTTTCAAAATATAATTTGATAAATGAAAGTATATCAAAGTGCATTCAACATCAATTTTATCAAAATAAATTAACGATTTGAAGAATTTTTAAGAATTTAAAAAAATATATATACCTTCACATGCTGCTTTTTTTATAACACTCTGTATACACGTCGTTAATTTTAAAAGTTTCATTGACATTTCATAACAAATTTTCTTCTCTGATGTAGATTAACATTACAGAACAGAACACAAAAATTCAACACAGTTTTTTTTTTTAAGGTTTATCTAATGACATAGCAGCGAAAATAACACTGAAAAGTTTACCGTTTGAAATTAACAACAGTTACTAACTTAATAAAATATAATCATAAGCCTCGACATAAATTTTAAATGTTGTCAGACAACAGATAAAACAGATAAATATGTTTCATTGATACTTTAGACCTTTCTATGGACCTTCTCACTCATTATTATGATTACTCATAGAGAATATAAATTAATGTTTTAACTTTTTATGGATTTATTGATTTCGGACTCTTAGTCAATTATATTTATTTAATTTACGACTTATTTATCATGTTTGCATTCATTACATTCCATTGTATATGACGTTAAATACAGGGTGTTCATAAATTTAGGTTGTACTTGGTATTTAGTCTTTCTATACAGGGTGTCCCAAAATTCGTGCAACAAAATTTGGTCATAGATTCTTAAGGCAAATTTAGGGGACCCATATATTTTATTTTTGCCAAGTGGCCCCCTCTGTCAGAGTTACAGCCCCCTGAAATCAGCCCCTAAGAATAGTCTTTTTTATATCAGAACCCTGTTGTACAAGAGTCACTAAATTTGATACACAGTGGTTTTATAACATGTGGAATCTGATACTGCTACGCTTTTTAGCGGGGAACCCCCTTGAGACACTTTTTCATGGGCCCCCTTGTGTTTGGAACCTTAAAAATTTGATGAGTGTTCAATATTAAACACCATTAAACAAATTTTCAAAAATATCTAAGATGATGATACTGTTTCCAAGAAAAAAATCTGTTTAATATTTTGTTGCAATCCTAAGAAACAATTAACCCTTTCACTGCTCCAGACGTACATATTCGCTAAAAATTTATAGGGCTCTACTCCAGACGGATTAATTCGCATGAATAGTTAAATTGGATCAGGCTGCTCAAACCGTATATATTCGTAACCATGCGCATTGTAACTCGGTTGTTGCAATTGGTATGGGGAATTTTTGTGGGCGAGCTTATACCGATTGTGACAAATATTTTTATGGAAAGAGGTACTGGTAATAATACCAAGATTGTTCATGTGTATTTCAGTTTCTATTTAGTACATATACTGTATTTCATTCAAAATAAAATCGTAAAATTTATCGTAAATCGTAATTTAACACAACATAATGTAAAACTATAAGTGGTCTAACTGCTCCAGACGTATATATGCGCACGCGATAAACTTTCGCGCACGACGCGGTAGCTACATTCAGACGTATTGCGCAGCGAAAGGGTTAAAATGAACTTAGTCCATTGAAAAGTTACATTTGGGGTTGCAAAAGTCAGAGCACGCAATTTTATTTTTTGGATGTCAAGAGGAAGTTAGTGTAAAGTTAAATCCATGTTTGTGGGGTCGCAACCCTTGAGCGTCGGCCGCCATCTTGTAAAAAGGGCTGCGAATGGTTTTTATACTACTACTTACTATATCGGGCAAACTATTCGTCGCACAGAAAATTTGTAAATACATTTTTTGTTGCAAATTAAATTCTCTACAAATTTGGTTCCGTAACTTTTAGTCGTAGAACCAAAAATAACAAAGTTATTAACGAAAATAGATAAAAATTTGGGAAGAAATTTTCTTTTGGTCGTTATAACTTTTTTTCTGGTCATTTTACAAAAAAATTACATCAGAGCATTTTGATAGAGGGGTTTTCAAGGAATAATTTCCATTACAAACTTTTTTCAAATTTTATTTATTTATTAGGGTTTTACAGCGATGCGAAACTTACACTATTCTCCAGTACTAGTAAGTATACATTAATATGAATGATTAGGCATAGGAGGTGTCCTTCAAAGTTTTCTTCCAGTTGTGCTACCACGTGCGTGCGTGACGTATTTAATTGTGAAAAGTATTTTGAGTTTTGTGGACACTATTTTGAATTTTGTGGACAAGAGGTGGGTTTCAGTGTCGACCAAGCAGAATCAGATGCAGATACCCTCATCGTTCGCTCCGCTCTTGCTGCATCCCAATCGTTCGACTCAGTCACTATTGTCGCCGAAGATATCGACATTCTTGTCTTGCTCACGGCATTTGGAAGAACACATTCAAATGTATTTTTTTAAACCATCAAAAGGACGTACAGCCGAACAATTATATTGTCCGTCAAGTTTTATGTACGGAGACGTCATTGTGGATAATCTGTTGTTTCTCCATGCCTTCTCAGGATGTGACACGACTTCAGCAGCTTACAACATCGGTAAAATGAAATTTCTCACAACCCTGGAGACACGTCCTGAGTTAGCTAGTGGAACAGCGTTATTCCTCAATGAGAGAGTCGACCCTACTTTGCTCACTGCCGTTGGCGAACGTTTTTTCATCTCTTTATATGGTGGCAATAAAGATGATGATTCTCTGGACAGTCTTAGATATAAACGATTCGCCAAGTCAGTGACAAAGAATACATTTAATTTGTCTTCACTTCCTCCAACACAAGACACAGCCCGCTTGCACAGCCTCCGAGTCTATCATCAGGTCCAGTCGTGGCTCGGGAATTACAACGACCCTCAAGACTGGGGCTGGAAAAAGTATGGACAAATATTGATGCCTATTCAAAGTTCAAAACCTCCAGCACCCCCTGAACTTCTAAAGTTGATATTCTGCCGATGCAAAGGAAACTGTGGAGCAATGTGTGGATGTCAGAAGGCAGGCCTCAAATGTTCTGCAGTGTGCCTGAATTGTTCTGGGGAGACATGCAGCAACATAATGGAGATATCATAATTGATCGAGGAAAATGATTTTGAAGATGAATTGCCAACAATGACGCCACTTTATACTCCATCCTTCCTCGACAATTCAATATCGGAAGCTCCACCAAATCCTGAGTCGCAGCCTGGCATATCAAAGAGACTGAGGACACAGTAGATTGGGAAATACATACTAGGGATACAACGTAAAAAAAACGCGCCACCAGACTCTACCCCGTAGGGGGTGGGGAAAAGAGTCAATAACTAATTAACAACACTGCAATATAAATCATTAAAATGTTTCTTATAAAAATAATGGAAAGATGAGAGAAAACTATGCCTAATCATTCATATTAATGTATACTTACTAGGGCTGGAGAATAGTGTAAGTTTCGCATCGCTGTAAAACCGTAATTAAAAAATAAAATTTAAAAAAAGTTTGTAATGGAAATTATTCCTTGAAAACCCCTTTATCAAAATGCTCTGATGTAATTTTTTTGTAAAATGACCAGAAAAAAAGTTATAACGACCAAAAGAAAATTTCTTCCCAAATTTTTATCTGTTTTCGTTAATAACTTTGCTGTTTTTGGTTCTACGACTAAAAGTTCCGGTACTAAATTTGTAGAGAATTTAATTTGGAACAAGAAATGTCTTTACAAATTTTCTGTGCGAGGAACAGTTTGCCCGATATAGGAAGTAGTAGTATAAAAACCATTTGCAGCCCTTTTTACAAGATGGCGGCCGACGCTCAAGGGTTGCGAGCCCACAAACATGGATTTAACTTTACACTAACCCCCTCTTGACATCCAAAAAATAAAATTGCGTGCTCTGACTTTTGCACGCTAAGCCCAAAAAAATGTAACATTTCAATGGACTAACTGCAGAATAAACAAAGGGGGATTTGAATATAAAAGAAAATTATGTTTATACAATTGTAAACATTAAAATTTGCAATTATCTTCATAATCATAAGATAAAAATTGTAAAATTTAAAAGCACTAATAACTTTAATTTCTTGAAAAATGTGGCCAAAACACTAAAAGTGTAGCTTTTCAGAAATGATTAATGTTTTCAATGTGGAATAAGACAACCTTTCTATAACTTGAAGTTTTTTTTTTCTAATTTTCTTAAAGTACAATATGTCAAGAATATTCTGTGAAAATTTCAAAGAAATCCGATAAATAGTTTTAAGGACATCCTACAATAACTGTAGGGCCCTTTTAGAGTGAATCTCATAGGGGATGACAATATCACGGACCGGTGTATACAGCTCGCAAACCAAAGTGCAAATGAAAACTCTCTAGATGGTAGAATGATACATAGACAACAAATTGATGTTTTGGAAGCTGGTACATCGGTAGAAAGCCTATTACGTATATTACACAGTAGTGAGAAACTTTTAATGCGTTCCTTTCAAAACATTTTCATATACAGTGGCCACTATATTTTAAAAACCACTCGATGTTTTTAGACGGAATTTATAAACATACTCTACGCATTAAAAACTTGTGCCTGAGGGATTTTTTTTTAAAACAAAACTTCAATTTTTTATAAACAATTAATGAGCAATTTTTCCCTTAAAATTCAAAAAAAATATTCGAAGTCGCCATTTTGCTAAACTTTCAAAAAAGAAATACTTTCGATCGAGTACAAGATTATTAAACTAAAATTTTTTTTTGCATTATTATCCGATCAACTACTAGGCACTTTTGTTAAGTGCTGATAAATTGGTCCAAAACTAACATGTAGTATATACAGTGATTCACAACTTATCCAAAAAAATTTGGGAATAGATGCGGCATGAGAAATGGAGTAAATATCGCAAAAAATCTCTTGTAAAATCCTTATAATTTCCAAGAAAAAAATTATTCAAGTTGTAGCACTTTCAACCATTACATAGCTGGACAACTGTAGTCTCTAGCATCACTCGCAATACACGTGGAGAGCCACGTGGCCTCAGCGACTCCGGATACTGAAATACGATTTTACAATCGTCGTTGCGATAGTGTTTACAAAAGTTTTTTAGTAGTCAGTGTCAAAAATAGCTTGGGTGTATAGTAATTCGGAGTTGATGAATATCATTTTAATTTAAGGTGAAGCAAGACAACATTTATATTATGGTGAAGCATTTGTGTTACGGTGAAGCAAGACAAGGTGTTAATTCGTGCAAACTGAGTAAGAAGGACTCAAATGTGTTTACACGTCGGTGTACAAAATTTTGAACAGATGTTATAACATCGGGTATGTCAAATTATTTTATAATTTAAAACCACAAATTAATTTTATTAATTAATAATAACAATAGCAGCAGATGCAGTTGAGTTTGCCGATATAAAATAGGTACTATAAAATTCTATTTACTTCTTTCCTTGGGAAGTTTTTATCTGTTTTTATCACACTGCCGCCATGTCAGTCGCATTGTGCGAGGACAGGTTTTACAGTGGACCAGTTTTCAGTGCCGTGCAGAAATGTATTTTTAAATCATTTTCGAACTGCCCTTTTCGATTATTTCTTTACAAAATTGTATTTGTAAGAGTCTCCTGAATATCCAAAATTTTTTTTTTGGATTCTTAATCATCCTGTATACATATTTTTAATTTTCGTGGAAGTTACTTAAAATATAGTGTAAAAACTTGGTATTACATATTAAATAAAAAAACACTATACAATAGTTAGAAAAAAATTCTTGTAAATTAAAAAAAAAACTAAATTTTCAGAATTTGGATGATTCTTTTCTGCAAGTACAATTTTTTATCTAGCTACTGTGTCAAATTAAAGAATTCATATTTAAAATATTTATTTAATCAATAATTGCGACAGTGACGATTCCATGAAAAAATTACAATTTGTTAGGAAAATTTAGCTTTTTTTTAGTTTTAAAATGAGATTACCACACAAGATACATTGAAAATAACTCTCCAAATATTCTATTTAAAAGAAATATTTTAATATTTGGTGCAGAAATTTTTGATTTTCAAAGGGCTTCTAAAAATTGAAAAATTTCTACATCGATAATTTGTTAGACTTTAGACATTTTAAGTTTTCTAACATTTGAAAAAATATGACATTTTTTTAACTTCAACTTGTACCTCAAAAACTAGACGAACTGTGACTCACGTGCATATGAAACTATTTGCTTAAATAAAACCTGGAACACCCTGTATACATTTGGAGTAAAAAACCCGTTGATAGAAAAAATTACTTTGAAGTTAATACTGAATTTAAAAATTTCTCTTTAAAAATTAAAAATTTTCAGACACCCTGTATTACTAATAAGTCGTAACCGATAAACAAAAAAAAAATTGTACCTTGCTGCTGATTTTTGATGTTCAACTGCTGCAACTGCGACTGAACGGCATTGACCACCGTATGATTAACAACCTGGCTTATCTCCGGGGCCGAGTGGATGCTTTGGGTTCTCGCCCTAATCTCTCCTTCGTTCTGCCAAGGCAGCGGAATATTCTCGTAGATAGGCTCCGTGGAGTTGTTTAAGTGGGGATCGTGAGCAACCATGGCGTTCTGGTTACGGGTCACGACGAATCCCGTGCTCGGCAACTGATTTTCTTGCAATATTTGTTTCATGTTCGCGGGCATGCAGTAGATGATATTGCCGTGCTCGTCATACACTTTTTTTATATGCTTCGTAATGTTGGGATTCTCCACTATGACGGCCTGAGGTCGGCCTAACATGTTATTGTTGAAAATCGAGGCGAGATTTTCATAAGTGCCATGCTGAGGGGGTAGGTAACTCTGCGACCGATGTATAGGATGCGGTTGATGGTTCGAGTATAACTGGCCGTAGTGTTTCAAGTAAAAGTTGCCGGTTGAAACCAAATCGGGACTTGAGCCGCTTACTATGCTGTTTATGAAGTTGCTCTGTGGTTTACCGTGCTGCGATATCCCCGCTAGATCTGGCGTGGAGTTGGAATTGATTTTATTAGTAGGGTATGGCGGAGGAGACTTGTACATGTGTAGCATTCCGATATTATCTGTAAAATCGATTCGCCTATTCTCGTTAGCTAGAATCTGCGATTGAGTAAAAGCGGAGTTGTAAACGAGATTCTTCTGTTCGATATTATTGTGCGTGACGTCCGGATAACAGAGGTGGGCGGCGTAAGCTTCCGTCTGATGGATTTCAGGCTGTGAACTGTATAAAATGGCGTGTGTATTGTGTAATGGCTCCCTTGGCGTAATGGCACTTGATGAATTCCTATATTTTTGTTGGATTGCTGTTTCGTAGTCAGGGGCTGGTCGGTAAGAAGGTAAGAGGCTCCTGAGTGTTTCTATGTCGGTTTGTTTGTTTAAGTCGAGACACGAAGTCGACTGGGCCCTCTGACTAAGACTCTGCGTTGAGGACAACGTAGGTCTGTCCCATTGATGAGAGGAATTCGTGACGTCCTCATAACTATCCATCTGTCTCAGTTTATCCTAAAAGTTGTAAACATAATTAAAATTCAGTTAAATATAGAATGTTTTTCTTTATCTCAGAATGGAAAATTATATAATTATATCAATTACATGCCAGTAAATTTATTAATAACTGAAGAACAAAGGGCTTAGCCTCTCTTAAACACAAATATTTATCTAACAAATTTGGATACTATGCTAAAACACTGAAATATTTACAAAAGGAATTTTATCTAATCTGAAATATTTGTTAAATTGTTTAAATTGTTTTATTACGACTATTCCTAATCTTTCCATAAACAAAACAAATAAAAATAAATACATAACAACTGCAAACCGTAAGCAATGTAAATATTTCATACCTCACTCTGCTGAAATACTGGAGGTTGCGGTAATCCCTTATCAGCCTGATCCACACTATTATTCATTTCGTATTGTCGATAAAATATATGTTGAAGAACACAAAAACGCCACGCATTTTTTGCACTTTCTACATCACTGAAATGGAAGTCAACCTTCTCACTGCCTCCGACAGATTCTATCGTGAAATCTCTTTTGTGATTTATAACATTACTTATGTCAGACCAACTGAAAATAATGTATTTATTAGAAGTTACATGACAACAGAATATTATAAGGAGCAATAAGCATCCTTGTGTGTACAGAAAACTTTTTCTATCTCGAGAACAAAAAAATTGGATTGAGCATAGAGAATTGAATTTTGGAAAATTTTTTTTAATATATATTTTAAATAAACAGTAGAATTAAGTTGTTCTTCTACTTCTAGTCGATTACATTCTGATTCTAAAAAAGATGTGTCTTTTGAAAAATAATGCAGTTTTAAACAATTCTTTATTATGAGTCAAACCATAGCTAATATACAGGGTGTCCCGAAATTAGTGCAACAAAATTTGGTCACAGATTCTTAAGACAAATTTAGGGGACCCGGTTTTTCTATTTTTGCCAAGTGGCCCCCTCTTTCGGAGCCACCCGAAATCTGCCCCTAAGAATAATCTCTTTTTTATATCTCGGAACCCTGTGTACGAGAATCACTAAATTTAGTACACAGGGGTCTTATGACATGTGGAATCTGATGCTGCTATGCTTTTTGATGGGGGAGACAATTATTCGTGGGCCCCCTTGTCTTTTTTTAAAATTATTAGTTCGCTTGAGTCATTAAATTTAGAAACTTTTTTGTCTCTTGACACTTTTATCGTAAAACGCAATGTTTTCGAGAAAAATTTCAAAATGTGATCGAATGCATATCGTGATTTGCCATTTTCCTCAAAAACATTACGTTATACGAAAAAAATATCAATTCTAGATTCAATGGCTTTCTAGCTAAATTTGCGACCAAATTTCTTTGGTTCCAAAAACAAGGGGGCCCACGAAAAAGTGTCTTAAGGGGGTTCCCCGTCAAAAAGCGTAGCACTATCAGATTCCACATGTCACAAAACCCCTGTGTACCAAATTTAGTGATTCTCGTACAACAGGGTTCTGAGATTTAAGAGACTATTCTTAGGGGTAGATTTCAGGGGGCTGTAACTCCAAAAGAGGGGACCACTTGGCAAAAAGAAAAAATACAGGTCCCCTAAATTTGTCTTAAGAATCTATGACCAAATTTTGTTGCATTAATTTCGAGACACCCTGTATATTTTTTTGTTTAGTTATTGTGTTGCTCATATTATTTTTTTATATATCTTTCCATTCAGTTTGTGGTAAAATATTCAATAAAATTAAAAAAAAACAGTCTAAAAATGTTGTGAAGAGATGAATATGTAAATATAAACAATAGAGATTTCTGGTATTTCTAAAATGCGGCAAATTTCGAATCAATTTTTGTTTTCCCTGTAAATATTTGGTGTAACATTCACGATGACCACATAACATATCCTTATCATTATCAACAAAAGAGAGACGAGCCATTTCTAAAATATTAATTTTGTTAATAATATCAATTTGTTTTCTATAACTTCATTAACAAATTTGAATATAAAGCTCACATCGGGAAAATAAGGATATATACATATTATTTAAAAAAAGACAATAATTTACGAGATATATTTAAAATTACAGAACTAAATTAAATGTTAAAATATGTGTACCAAAAACTGTACCAAAAAAAGTTATTAATAAACACTATTTTTGTTAAAAAACAATAAATAAAATTGCATATATCTCACAAAGTGGTCGATTTTATGTTTTTTATTAATGTAATATACGGCCGACTAGTGCCTGTCTGAAGATGTATCGAATTTGATGAAACTTGGTGATAAGACATTTTAAGAGATGCTGAATGAGAATACGTAATCTGTTTTTTGGAAAAAAAATCGCTAATACCAATTAGCTGGTTTGACGTCAAAAAAACGTGTCCTAGTTCGCCATGTATTGCATTAATGAAAACAGCAGCATTACAGTTAGATAGTTCTTTTTATCCTAAATTCTAAAAAAAATTTTTTGAAATCGATTGAAAAATAAAAAAGCTACAGGCTTGTATCACATTTAAGCGTGACACCCTGTATATGCACAGGTGAAAAATATGCATTGGATTTATATGCATGTGGTGATCTTACATGCCATTGCATTCCCACATTAAGAATACGATGCCTTGATGAGTTAAGAGGTTACAAATTCGTTTGTTAGCTTTTAAGCTAATGCTAATGAAAGTGTACACCCGGTATGTCATAGTGAATATTAAAAAGAATGAGCAATCACTCACCCAAAATGTCTACCTTCTCGTCCTCCAGGGTAACCTATATAAACTCCCGTCAAACAGATGCTGATTAATGTATCTGTTCCCTCATTGTCCTTTACAGAATACACTTCTTGCCCGTACCCTTCTAATCTTTGACAAGCGCAAATGTAGTACTCCTCTGCCGTTCCTTGAGGCAAATTGTGTAGGGCAGCGTGTTGTCTACTTGCTGCCTCTGTTAACGTTTCTAGTAAAGACGGATCTGTAAAAGTCTGCAATAAAACTTATTTAGTTAATGTTATCTACAATTATTTAGAAACTGTTAATAAATTTTATAGGCACTGTATATATGACACATGTATCCAATTTTTAGCATCTCTTTGGTATTATTACGCAAATTAGCAATGTGAAAAAAATTTCAGAAATAACCTACTGAAACTCATAAGGATAGAAAAATACTGCACTAACGTCACTACAGTAAATTTTAAGCGAAATGGAGATTGGATATCAAAATGACACTGTTTTGAGAAAAGAGGAGTATCTCAGTCTAGGGAATAATTATGTATATATTTTTAACTGCCTTATCACGAGTGATAGAATAACAACATATGTATTATTAATGTAGTATTCATCTATATTTGTTACAAAATAGTTTACATCGTTGCAGTTACTCATATCATACTATATTGCTATTATAATCTACAGGGTGCTGCAAAATTTCAACTGATTATTAAAAAAAATTATTAAAAAAATCCACATTTTTTTCTAATTTTAACTTCGACACCCTGTATTTTGCAAGAGTTACTTAAATAAAAAATGACATAAGTCCCATTATTTTTTTTTGTGGTTAACAATTCAACCTAATTAGATATAATAAGATTAGACACAAAAGAGGTATATAGCATGACATACCTTTGGGAATAACTGAAAATCTTTCAAATAGTGAGCAGTATGTCTTTCGGCATCAAAGTTTCCGAATTCTGCTTGCATAGAATAACTAGCAAGCTCAACGGCTTGTTGCGGAGTACAAGATATCCTTCCTTCAATAACATCTTGTTTCAATTGCAAGAAGTAATGATACCTATAACAAAATAAAATAAAATAAATAACAACATAATGTTATGTATTTTTTTCCTATTATAATGATAATAATTATTGCAGAAAAACAAAATTAAGAGAACTTCTTTAGCAAAACTTGTCCTTAATAATATATCGATATATTTTATATTATCAAAATATGTACTATTATCTTAAAATGTATTTACCTATTGTCTGTGATATAAAAAATACTACCGAAATATTACTCAAGGTTGTACACCCAATTACTCTCGTCATTTCTCCCGATAAAATCTGTGAATCTAACATTAAATATTAAATGCCAATGCTGAATACAATTGGCACTTGTGATTTATATAAAACATTTATATAAATATTTCTCAGGTCCAGCTCATAGATAAAGAAAATCAATATTATAATTTACTCGTTTACTAATTATAGGAATTTTATTTATTTATTTATTTAACAGCAATGACATTCCACATATTTTTTAAATAGTTTTTAATCTTAATGGGTTGATAAATTTTATCTGATTTATTTATCATAGGCTAGGTATTCCTATAATCCTATGAAATCATAGTGCCATTTATTAGGTTTATTTAACTTATGTATCTTAAGGGTACAACCGATTTTTGTTTAATATATAATGTTTTGTTCATTTAGAATATTTATTATTTAAATAGTGTATTTTAATACGATTAAATACACTTACAACAATTTTGAATGTTATTTGCCATTTTTATTGATAAAAAAAAAATAAAAATAAATTTTATTATTTTTTCAGTTTTTTTTTAGACAAATAGTTATTATTAATTATAAGTTCTCTAACAAATGAACAATGTACTAAGACGGCATTTAACAGTTACATAATAGTTTTTCTATTAGAATGGAGCTAAAGAGAGTTAAAATTTCTTCCAGTTTTTAAACTACCGGAGTAAAAATATCAGTAAAAGTTGCTTTACGTAATCTGGGAATTAACAAACTAATACGAAGATTTAATAAATAAAAAGTTCAAATCTCGATTTTTTGAGTTGTCACTTTATGATATTAACAACAAATAAGATAAATTAGTCTTACCTTGTTACTTCATCACTAATTAGTGTAACTCCTGAAATAACATAATACATCACCCTCAAATGTACAACAAGCCCTCGGGCATATTTATCCAGTTGTCTTTTTATAGGCCTATCTAATTCCAGCCAACATAGATTACTGTCATTGTTGCGACTTACATACTGTAAGCCAAAAAATTTTGGTTGATTCAGGCTCAATTTCTGACAAACGACATCAAGGCAATCCTGGCCTGTACTTTCGGAAGAAAGTGTGCATTCTACAATTGTACCATCCAATATTTCTACAGATATTACATATAAAGATTTGGATACTACACTGTAATGTCTAGACTTTTTCAATTTGAGTTTAAAAGGCATTGTTACCAGATGTCGGTTTTCTGAAAAAAATAATAAATCTCTTCATATTATGTTACATTGGAAATATTTACAGATGAAAAGAAAATGTGCTAAATATAGATACATTTTGTGACCTAAAATTTTGTTTACCCTCTTGAGGTAAATCATAACAGCTAATGCCAAAATATGGTATGAAAAGATAAATTATATTTTGTAAAGTCTGGACTTTAATACAAAAATCATATTTACCTTTACAAAATATGTACAATATTCACAGTAGAAACTACAATACGTTCTAAAATTGGTTAAATGTTAAATATAACTTATTTATATTCAATTCACATTTTTGACAGTGACAATAAAATTTTTGTTTGATACTTTCGGCAAGGTAGGCACCTGTCGAAGGGTAAATAATTCAAAAGATATATTTAAGGTGTCGCTTTGGAAACAGGTGCAGTATCGAGGAGTAGAATGCAGTAAAGTCACAGATTGGTGATGGTGATTCAGGTGATTCCAGCATTCGCGACGCCACCTTGAGGCCAATACATGAAACGACTGTTTTGTTTGCATCGTTAGGTCGTCGTGACTGAGAACTGAGACTGAAATATTGATACTGACAAAATATTTCAGTCAACGATTGGAGGCTTTTTTTCGCGACTGAATATTGGTGAATATTTGACTTGTAGTTACTATTTCTATCTCTTTTGATCTTAATTGTCCTGTGGTAGTTTAAATCTCTTCACTCACTCATACCACACATACTACAACATACGCCTTCACTTGCGAAAAAAACCCTTAGGTTATAAAGAGGTTCTCTATTTTTTTTTAGGGGGAAATTTGTTAATTGTGAACCAATAGACTATTGTGTGTTTCATTTTTGTATTACAACATCCGACATATAATTTTTATGTTTGATACAGCATAAATAAAACAATTTACACCTAACCTTCTCGTTAAATTTAGTTCTGATGATATATAGTCACAGCAGATGTAGAGACAACTTATTTACATATTTATTTTTATTTAAATAAATTAAGTATGACCATTGAGTTTATAACCTACGCTAACATGACTGTAACAAACATCATTTATATTTCTAGATCATTACAAAATAATTATTTTTTTAGAACGTTAACACGCAAACACTATTTTTGAACTCTGTCAAGAGACAAGAGATATTTAATGTCAATTTGTCAATTACTTGTTTCAGACAAGACGATTGTGGCGCCTTCTTCAAGGTCGTAGTAATTGGATTTCGCTAATATATGGTAGCAATCCCCTCTGTTCTGAGATCACATGGATTACTAATTGCTGATTTCCAATTTTAAGGATGTATCTGCTTGCGAGAATCTTTTTCCGAATGGAATATGGGACAGGAAAATCATACATTTATAGTTAAGCCTTGATTAAGTAATCACTTGATTAGACTGCACAAATACTGATTTCCATGTCTCCTCTACTCCTACCTCCTACTACTACTATGTCAGGCAAAAGCATCAGAATCAGAACCACAAAACAGATTAGAACTACATGGAGATTGGAGGAAGCGACAAGGTAGACGAGTGACCGGAGTGACAGAGAAGAGATAGTTTGGTCACAGAATAGAATAAATTCTATTCTGTGGTTTAGATACTTTCTCTCTCGCGCAGACACGTGATTGGCTAACGCAACTGCCTCCGCCCTTTAGCAGAAAAGTCATTTCCCCACACTTCCTTAACGAGAAAGAGAGAATGAGTACCCATAAACTCTCGCCTTTCTTGTCAACAGCGTCTGCACTTTTTAAATAATGTCTACAATCTGTGATCAAACATTATAAGAAGACATAATTCGGCTTGATGAACTATGACTGTAGCCAGCTACACCAATTTTCACCAATCAACGACTTGCACTTGTACTTCCCTATTGTTCTCCTTACTGTCGCTAGTTTCTATCTTGCGAACAGGGAGACTAGATACCATGCTTGCGAAGTTCAAATTTTCTAACTACACGCGACACTTTCCTAATTTATATATACCTATTGTAAGATTTATAAGTATATATTTAGGTTTAACTGTTTTGTTACTTTTGTTGTGTTTAGTTTATGGACAGACCTGACCTTTTTTTTTGAAAATGAATAATAATAACGATATGAATGCAAAGTGGTTACATTATTACACGAAAGTGGATATGTTCTACAATTGAAAGCAATTGATCAAATGCTTCAGGGCCCATATGAAAAACGTTATGTTTATTTTTTTCATTTAAACGCATTACCTTTCGTTTATTGTTTTTATTCCCAGCATCAGTGTTCTCTTAATTCTGGTCTAAATAACCGTCTACCAAAATACTACAATTCCTAGAAATGAAATGTATATGAATTACCTGTATTAAAAAAATCAATGTAACTTTCAATGTGTGGATTCCGTAGAGCCAATAAGAGATTTGGATTTTTTAAACAGGCCAATAGTAATACATAAACAAACTCGTTTTTTTTACAAAATTCTTTTCTATTCTATTCTTTTTATTAAAAATTAATTAACTTCTAACTAAACTAAATAGGGTACGGGAAATAAGTGTTTCAATTTTCAGATTAAGCCACAGTTTCGATTTTATTTAAAATCTTCGAAAAATAATAATAAAAAGATAAATAAAGTGTGTTATATCACTTTGAAAAACATTAAAATAATAAGTATTTAAAACATCATAAAAAAAAAAAACATTAAAATTATTATAATCTGGAGCTGCCACTTTGTGGTAAGACAAAAAGTGAATTAAAAAAAAAGCAAAACGTTTACAAGAAATTGTTAATATACTAGATTATCATTTGATTGCCACACACAAGGCGATTGATTTGCCTCAAAGCAAAGTTAATTTGGTTGTCTCAAAAGACTCCAGTTTAACCATCTAGTAAATACAGAAATGAGTACCTACTTATCTTAATATTATGATGTTCCAAATATCACTCATTTCTAAACATGAATATAAAATAAAAAATGTATTGTTTCTAGAAAGTAAATTAAAATAGGTATGTAAAATTATAAATCAACAAAAGAAATGTATAGTTAATTACATAACAGAAAGTGCAACAGCCGATGAAAAGGCCAGAACCAACATTACATATCCTGTAATGTATACTTCTCTGAGTGTGAGGAATTTACCAGTGTCCCACAAAAGGTGTCTAATTCCATTCCAGAAATGGTAGGTTAAGGGAAACGCTAAAAGAAATTTAAGAGAAGAAATGCAAGCTGTACCCAACTGAGCACTTTGTAGTTCTTCAATGTAATGTGGAATAGACTCTGGGAGAACAACAGCACCCAGTCCAAGAGCAATAGCATAGCCAGAAAGTGCCATACCTAAAAAGGTGTAAAAATTTTTTATACGACAGTATGATAGGGATACCTACACTATACTAACATTAAAAAAAAGGTGGTCTCTTGAAATATCTTCCGAACAAATGAAAATATAGTAATGAAATATTGTGCACACAATACATAAATAAAATTGCCTTCAAAATGAAAAAATTAAATTAAATATGCAGGTTACTTTTTGTAAAAAGTTGTTACAGAGAAAAAATATTGTTTTGATGTTTGAAATATAATTTTTTTATGATTATGGCTTAAATTAACAATTTGTAAAAATTATACATTTAGGTAAATGCATGATTGGTCAACACTAAAATACCGAGTTTCAAATTAATTGCTCACAAATTACTTAAATAATAGAGAGATCCGGGCGAGGAAAGATAATACACTCATACCTATCTAGTTCCCTCCTTACAATTTTAATAATTGTATCTAAATGTATCATCAGTACAACTTGCTAATTTATACCAAAACAGTAAAAGCAATGCAAAAATGTCAAGAAGTCATTTTCATTTAAACCAAAATTTGCATTTCAAGAATGAATTTTTTTTCAGCAGGATGCTTTAATTTTTTATGAAAATGTAACCAAAAATTTTCGTCTTTAATAATAATGTTTTAGTTACAGGTATATATCTACATGTGTCATTTTGAAAACAAAATTATAGACTTTCAAAACATTAACATGAAAGGTAAGAAGTGTATTTAACTGCTTTTTACTCTCGAGTTTTGAAAGTTGGAAAAAATAAGTTTCTTAAAAACCCCCCCCCCGAGTGAGCATTTTGTAGTGCAGGGGTTCATTTATTAATTAAAAAAAGTATATTAAATTTACAGTATGGCATAATAAAAACAAAAGAAAAATTTCCATGGCTCCTACAATCTATAACCCCTTTCCTACATTTGTTCGGACTTCAATTTTTTTTATCTGCAAAATTTCAACTGAGTAGAATTGCTGTACAAAACACTAGCTTACATTTTCAGTAATTAAATCGTTTAAAATAACAATTGCAAAACTAGTATTAGCAGCAGCCATTTTAGATTTACTGCAAATTCTTTACATGTTAAAAGGGTTATACACCTGTAAATCTGTGGGTAATTGACAATACACTTGTTAGTTGAGGAGCAAAAATAGTCAGGTGTGGGGACAGAGGCCTCTTCAATCTCATATTCTTTTCATCGTAACTTTCATCTCGTTCAGAGGTAGCTGGTTGAGCTTGTAAAGCTACAGTGCGTACAAAGCTATATAAACCTGTTTTTTCAGCATTTAAAATTTGGGATCCAAATCTTTTACTAGCTAACCTAAAATATATAATAAAATGAATTGTTTTTTTTTACATTTATGTCTTCAGTAATTTTTTTTTTATAAAACTATCATTACCTAAAAATCAGTGCCATATTCACCACCACAAAATTATTTATTGTAAATATATAATTTTTCAACCGATTAGTAAGTTTTAAAGATCGCTAAGGCAGCGTTTACATAGAGTCGGACTTCTACACTCCACAATGGAGTAAGAGTAAGGAGTTGGAGCCTTAATCTTAAGATTATCAAACTAAGGTTCTAGAGCGAGCACGTTTGAATGAAGGACTTTTCGTTTATTATTATAAATTACAATAACATTTGTTTATAAAAGTAGAGCAAACGCGTAAACGTAGTAAATTGGAGCTTTTAAACATTTCTCTGTGTAGATAACGTTGTTTTTTTTTTAGTTATATATTGTTTAATCGCGCCACGTGCGCGCGCCATTATTCCATGGCTAGAAATTGGCCTCAATGATTTGGGATCGAGGGGGATTATCTCTCTTTATCCTGCCTCATCTCGTGTAGGCCTGGACAGCCTTCGTAGGTGGGCCCCATCCGTTGTCTACCCCGACCGCAAATGCGGCCGGTGTAGGCGCTTTGTGGGACCTCCTTTTGTCCTGGCTGGGCCCCGCCGGCTAGGGCCCTTTCTTCTGGCGCTCTTCTTGCTTCGCCGGCTCGTCTGTGTAAACCCCGGGGGTAGTGTCATGTTTATGTGTGGTATGGTTGGGTAGGGTAGTGCGGCTATGCAGCCTGGGATGCGCTTTGCTAAGGTGGCCCTTAGG